CCGGCGGCTGAACATCCACAACAGCCTGAAAAGAAGGAGCACCGGCCTCATCAGTCGTTGAAGCCCTCTTCGTCTTCTTCGAAGCCTGGCTCGGCTTCAGTCCAGCTTCAGCCAGAGTCTTTTGGCCCTCATCGGCAGCCCTCCTACTCTTTTTAGCCGCCGGTTTCCTAACGGCCTCAGCACCTCCTTGAGGACCACCCGCAGACTTCTTGGCTGCCTCAGCAGCCTGGGCGGACTTGAGCTCGGCATCGGCCTTCTTGGCGGCTCGAGCCATAAAAGATACGCGGTCCATGACAAAACCTGCACAAAACAAAGGAACATCAGTAAAGCAATAACTAAAAACGCTATGAGAAGGGTAAGTAGACGAAGGACAACCTTCGGCTTCAGCGGGAACGCCAAGACGGGGCCCATCGGCATGCTCATAAGACCCCTCGATCCTTGGCCAGAGGTCATCGTCCACATCACCGGGACAATAATATCGCACGAAGCCGAGGGCAGCCATCCTGTACTCCGTAACGTACGTCTTGATGCTCCTCGGCCCCCCCTTAATAAAGGCCTCTACCTGATTGCTTATTTCAGCACTCCAAGGGGGGGTATGCAACTCAAAGAGGCCGCTGTGACCATTGGAAGGAAAGAAGCCACCCTGACCCAAGGTGACGAACACGAACTTGGCCTTCCAGCCATGAATGGACGTAGGGAGATCCGTAAACGACCTCCTCCCACTAATCTGCTGCAGGGTTGCGTAGCCGGCACAATTTTGATGGCTCCCTCGGCCTATCCGGAACAAGTTCATGAACAGGGCAGTCGTCGGCGAAATCTCCAACTCTTTGCACCGGATCAAGAAGCCGATGATGAGCGAAAAGCTGTTGGGAGTCAATAGGGCCGGAGGGAGCTCCACCATCTCAAGATACTCCTTGATGAAGGGATGAAGAGGGAACCTCAGACCCTTGGCAAAACTCATCGGGTAGACACCAAAATAGCCCAAAGGCGGGTTCAGAACATGATCCGACGGCAAGGGGGCTCTGACACGGCCGTAGGGACCGACGTACAGCTGCGCAACGTGATAATCGTCGAGGGTCCCCTCCGGCCGAATGATGTACAAGTTGCTGAGATCTAACTGTGAAAACCCCTGCGGTACTCCCTTACGCTGCTTCCGCCGGTACGGTTTTTTTCGTCTTAGGAGCCGCGGGGCCTTCCCCCGCTACTGACGATATCGGCGGAGGACAAGGAATGTGGGCAGACGAGGATGCCTCATCCCCCCTCAGAGGCGAGCTAGATGTCGCCTCGTCCTCACCAGAATTATGGGCTCCCGCGTCGGCACTCATTCTCTCCCCATCTACGGAGGTGCGGTAGTCGGCGGTATTCTCCATCTCGACCTCGAAGGCTTCAATCAGTCGAAGATCAACTCCAGGGGACGTATCGTCCTCGTCAAAAGGCCAATCCGACTCGTCCAAAGAAGCTGTCAAATCAATGGGGGAGGGAACGCTACGGCCGTTAGGGAACGGCATAACACCTAAACCTATTCCTAAGGGCGGTTTCTCGGATCAAAGTGACTTTCCTACGAACACTAGATCTAACCCCCTAGGAAGCAAAGTATAAGGAAAAACGAAGAAACAATTACAAGAACCTAACCTTGAAGTTTTGAAGAACACTTGAACACCTGGAGATTCGGGGAAGCACTTCTCTCTCTAGGAATCTCAGCAGCAATTCGACTTAGGCAAAAGGCAAAATGAGGGAATGGCTTCGGAATTGGGGGTATTTATAGGCACCCCTCCAACAGTCACTACACGTGGCAATCCCCAATTGGGCACCTCAACGGCGCCTCTCCTAAAGCCAATCAGCGCTTGTCTTTTCACATTCCACTCTAAAGCCACCACTACGGCCCAACAGGCCCCGAAACTAGGGGTAGGCACCGGCCTACTCGCTCAAACGCAATAAGAAACTCGCTACGGCCCAATTTACCAAGGAAATGACCGCATCAGCAAACACGCTACGGCCCCAAATCAACCCCAAGAAACACAAGTACCGCTATGGCTACTCAAACGCACATCGTTTGATGATGACCCTGGTATTGCGGCCTTCGTCCAAGGGTTCTCCCACAGGGTTACCTTGGACAGGTTCGCCTAAGGGTTGGACTCACGACTAACGCATGGGTACCGTATCGGCTCGAGAACATCATGACTCCCTTGTGCCTCAGATACTCTTCGGCCAACGGAGTGGGGGACTGGGGGACTATATCGGCTACAAAAGGGGAAACAACATAAATGGAAACGCAACGGCCTGAAAAAAAAGAGGTACGCTACGGCTCACCGATAGTCGATGTGTGAAACAAATGCACCTCGACAGCACAAAAGATCGCATCGGCTACGAAAACCAGAAGTTCAAAAGCCCAAAGGCACAAGACCAGCACGCAACGGCTATACACACTGAGGAACTGCGCCGGCTCACTAAAGCAAGGATACACAAGTCAAAGCGCTTCGGCCACATAACAGATCACAAGCATGCAGACCGCATCATCCTCATAAACGAGACCAAACATCTTTGCTCCATAAAACCATGTCACCACAACGGCAAGAAGTACATGGGGACCTCTTCGGCCCCAACAAATGGTAATAAAACATGCCAGTATTCTCCATAAATTCACATCTACTGGAAAGAGAAAACGCGCCGCATCGCCCTCGAAACACTTCCCACAAAGAGCGCATCGGCCCGCACTAAAGTTATGAAATCCTCAAGCGCGCCCCATCTACATCAGATGAGGGAACCGCTTCATTCCAAAATCAAAGCAGAACCTCTTCAGGCCACCAAGCACCTCGAGCTCACACAGCGGCCAGCCAGAAAGGAACAAGTACTCCCTTTCGCTTCGGCTTCACCTCAGCTCAGAGAGTGGGGGACTCCTGATAGAGTATATGGGCCTGAACCCCATGGCCCACATACTCAAGTCAACGACGACCAGAAGAACACCCACGTGGCCCCCTTCGGCCAGTGGGCCCGCATCGGCCAGAAACCAAACCGGCCCAGGAAGCACGCTTGGACTCCCGGGACCGCATCGGCCCATGGACCGCATCGGCCATGGGACCGCATCGGCCAAAAGGCACCGCATTGGCCAGATTTCGGCCGGGCAGAATGCATCTTTCTACTTTATTTACTAAGTATTGTACACAGCCCATTAGTGGCCCTATTTCGCCCAAAGAAGGCATGATTATTGTAATGGGCCTCCTAAGCCCATGGCTAGGAGCCCAAATCCACATTTTTTCCTATAAATAGACCCCTTGGGGCTAGTTATAGGGGGTTGAGAAATATAATTACTCACTTTCTCTCTCTAGCTCTCACTTCTCTCTAGAATTAATACTCTATCACACATCATTTGGTTACTCGTGTAAACTTTTTTTTTAAATTAGATACAAACTATTTACAAATACGGAGTATATCGTGTACTTCTCCATTCTTAAATAGGTGCAACAGTCAACATTTCACACATGCCGAGACACAACTTTGACCATTAATATATATAATTCTCTGTTAGTAAAAAATTTAAAAAAAATCAGTTTTTGAAAATTTACAATGAGACAAATTTAATAATATATTTTTCAAAAAAATTTATTAATACATCAATAAATAAAATGTAGTCAAAGTACAACATGTGAATAGTGTAAAATTTCACATGTTGCACTTATGTAAGAATGGAGGTAGTATTTTATAATAACAGACCAGATCTTACATACTGTAAACAAGCCCCTATTTAAAAAAAAAAAACTAATTGAACTTGCGTCGTGTCTTCATATTTCAAAGAATCAAAAGTCTAAACCTACTTGATAATCAGTTTTGAAATCAAATTCTGCAACATCAATTTCTAAACACATAATAACATCTCAATTATACCTACCAATAAAAAAAAACTAGAAGCTCACATGGCCTCTTAGATTGCAGTGCGCACAGCAGGTTAAGATATTTGATCATATGATTGTCTCTTTTGTCTTCTTATACAGGAGAGGAATGATTTAGAATTTTAGACGGCCGCCAAAAAAAACTTTTGCTGGCCTGAGGTTTTGTTCGTCAAAATTAGGGATATGATGAATCATTGAATTGTAATAGTTTAAATTGATACGGAGTATATTTTATACGTAGTATTAACGATGTAAAGTAGTTTACTACCCTCCCCCCACGTAAAATATTTTACATCGGACAATGTAAAATGTTTTAAAAAAGTGTCCTACAGTTTACATCAAATAATTGAAACAAACGGTGTAAACTGTTTACTCCCGTCCACTTTACAAGCAAAATGTTTACTTTACATCTTACCAAACGAGCCCTTAAATCCTCGAAAAAAAGTTTGCATAGTTAGTGAATTACTATGTATTATATTATACATAGTATCATAGTATTAATAACTAACTAGTGTACGTAACACCCGGAACATGCCCCTGTAATCATGTTAATACTAATGCATGAATTAAAATGATATTATATCATTGCTTGAAAAAAGTTCATAGTCTGCAAATAAAAGTAGAGGAAAGTGAAAATACTAATGTGCTACATTTCATTCATGTGCTTTAAATCATCGCAAAAAAAATCATGTGCTTTTAATAATTTCAAAAAAAATCAGCAAACCAACTGATTCAGCTGATTTTAATGTTATCAAACGAGCTCTACATATATCATTACCTTTAAATTTGCATGTTTTAAAAGTAGGAAAGTGAGTTTACGGAACACACTAACACACATAATAAATATTTATAATATACCATATATGATGATAAAGTTGGAACCACATACGATAGTATATGATTGTATGTTTAATCGCTTTTATTGTATTTTATTATTTTCAAAATTCTATTCAAATGTGAGAATTAGTTATATTAACATTTATCATGAATAAAAAAAATATGCAAATAAGATGCACAAAACAATAGACAATGAGTTTGGTCGGGGCTAGGAGTAACAGGTGACGGGGTGAAGATGTAGAGAACTTTTGGGCATGCAAATATGCAATGGTGATGTAGAGTAATTCCGCCCAAACGTAACGCACCCATTCTTTTGCTTTTTGTTACCATATAAATAACCATATCAAATTCGTTACAACGAGACAAATAGTTCAAACAAAGTGCAAAAATTACTCGTATATTTCGAAAAATATATTACAATCTTTCTTCATTAAATACAAGAGTCGAACTTTAAAAAATACGAGTGTAAGAAAAAATTCAAAACAAAGAAAAAAGAAAAAACGATAAAGTACAGCTTGCGTGATCACTTGGAATAATTGATGAGGGAACATGACAAATAAATCTGCATAAAATTTGCTTTGTTTTTTTAGAATATATTTAGAATGTGGATCTGAAAGGGCGGAGGTCAATCTCTTGGGTCCAAGCGGACCGATCTTGGATGTGCAAATGCCAGTACGTGCGAGCCAACTCGTCTGGGTCCATTGATCCATCATCGCCTCCTTCATTCTGCTGTATTTCTCTGACCCCCCATTTCTGCTGCGAACACGATAATGATGATAATAAAGCCGAAGACGACGTTGCCGCTGGCCCTCTGCACATGCATAACCAATGTGTATCCTCAATCACATTTTCTTCCTTTCAATTCTTTTTTCAGTAAACTGATCATTATTCTCTTTACAAGCAATTCTTACCGAGTGTTCATTGTATTGATTTTACTACTAGTATAACACAAGTACTTTATTCTATTTCCTCTTCAATAATCTACTAAGATGGAACCAAACTTAATATGATCAGATCAGATTTAAAATCAGATCAGATTTAAATAATGATAAAATATGCATACATCAGATGTTTACCCGGACCAGATTTAGTGACACAGCTTAAAGAGACGAAACTCAAGCAATGAAAAAAGTTGTTCAAATAATGATGGAAGGTTAATATTTAAAGATGCTTAATTAAAATGAGAATAAATCCATTTCTACCATTGAATAGTAGAATAATTGAGATAGTTCAAAACAAGCATTGGTGTTTTAAATCTTACACTTGCATATACTTCGTACATCGTAAGGCTACAAACTTCTATTTGTTCTATATTTACAAATTGTGCACATAATCTTTGCCTTCTGCAATTTACGTAGTAGTTGTATATTACTCGTATTAGAAAATATGATGTCAAATTTATCATATACGCACCTGCTTACTCTACATATGTTGATACATACACACCTATATACTATCCTCCGTCTCTTTTTAATCGCAACATGTTGAATTTTACACTATTCACATGTTCTACTTTGACTACATTTTATATTATTATTTTATGAAAATTATTTTTTTTAAATTATATTGTTCAATTCATCTCATTACAAATTTTCAAAAATATAATTTTTAAATATTTTTTACTAATAGAGATTAAGATATAATTGCGGTCAAAGATGTGCGTTGGCAAGTGTGAAATGTTGACCGTTGCAACTAAAAAAGAACGGAGGAAGTACTACGTATACTCCGTATATAATATACGCATATGTGTGTATATTTTTGTGGTAAATGGCCCGTGGGACATCGTTAGAGATGGTTGCCTCGTCAGGGAGTGTTCACCATATTGTACTGTTCAATCGTGTCATTTTCATGACAGAAAATGATGGATACCCTATAATTTAAATATTTAATGCAGGGCCAAAGGGACCATTTCAATTTGCACACTAATTTTGTTTTTACTTTACAGTCCTTGTACACATAACAGAACTATGGAAGTGTTTTTAGAGTAAAGATATGGAGCATCTTCACGTGCTCCATAAGAAGTATGATGATGAAGTGGATGAATCAAATGCATAAATCTCATGATAACGTGTTTCATAGGAATATACTTCTATGGAAAATGTTAACATGTTCCATATGAGTGTTTATATGATTGCGTGTAACAAAATGCAATGCCTATGGGAAAAACTGTGCTTATATTTTTTGAGTGTTTAGATGATTGGAGTTAGAGAGTTTTAAAAATCGATTACTTAATTGGTTTAAAAGCTTATCTTAATTATTTATTTTTTACATAATATGAAGAATAAACTAAAATCTAAAATGATGATAAAAAGAAAGAGATTTTTACTTGAATATTACTAATTTTGAACAATTACCCAAAAAGTGACCACTTTTAAAAAAGGACAAAAAAGTGATCAAGAAGGTCATATGTGTGGAATTAGAAAACATGATGTCACTGCAAAAATTATATGTCACTGTGTTCGTTTTTTTGTAACTATAGTCACCACCCATGTCACTACAACCACCGCCAATGTCACTGTAACCACGGCCCGTGTCACTGTAGCCACCGCTCGTGTCACTGTAGCCACCGCCCATGTCACTGTAGCCACTGCTCGTGTCACTGTAGCCACCGCCCGTGTCACTGTAGCCACCACCCGTGTCACTGTAGACGTCGCCGCAGTGACACCGCCACAGTGACACCGTCGGCTGCACCGCGCAATTACCGCTACCACACCGGTTCATCCAGTGACCACCGCCTAGCTACACCGGCCACAGCCCCGACGACCATCGGCCCCACGCTTGCACCCTCCCCAGCTAGACCTAGCCCCTCCCCTGCCACAGACTCACAGCCCCAAAACCATCACTCTTCACAGCGGCAACACGCACCAGATCCCCACCCATTGCCCTCCTGCCCCGTCCACGGACCTGCCCCCAACCACCATCCCCATCTTCGACCAGCCCAGCGCCCCCCCAATTCTACCCCTCCCTAGCCTCGATCTAGCCCCGATCAGCCCAACCACGACCACCATTTCTCCTGCTCAAGCCCAACCTATGTACCAGACCCCCACCCAGTCCCGAGCACCCTACTCTCCAGCTCCCCCTGCCCCGCCCCCTGTCGTTCCCTCAGACCCCTTTCCGACATCTATGACAGTGGATCCGGCACGTGCTGCACAAAAACCGAAGTCGACGTCACCTAGTTTGGCTGTTCCAGAACTGACGACCCCAAATCGAGTCGTCACCAACTGAAATAGGTGGATCTGGCAACGGCGGCCACAAATCGATCTCCGGCGTGCCCTACTACCCCATCGACCGGACAGAAAGAGAAGAAACAGAAAAACCGGCGTGGAGTACGGGAGGGAGACAACTGGGAACGAACAACTACTACGGTGGTGAGATCGGCGGCGTAGATGATGTCAGCAGAGGTTGGCGGAGGTCGGCTGCATAATTGATAAATGAGAGGAGCTATGCGCCATAGGGAGGCTAAAAGTCTCTGCGCAATTCCTATGGATAGGAGAGAGAAGATCAGCTATGAGCCTAAGGTGTCGAGCGTGAAGACTGAAACCGAAATTAGTTTGAATCACATTTTTGTATTTCTTAAAATCAGTCATATTTTGGTCTATTAAAACTCTAATACTAATATTTGGGCCATTCTTTCAAAAAGAAATGTCTTAGTCTGAATGTCTGATAGTAGTACCAGTTTCAAATATGCCTATGGAAATATCACGTGTAAACTAGCCTACTGCAGCTGCCGTTTTAATATTGTAAAATACGGTAGTATATGTACATCTTACATCCCATTTTTTGAAGCAGCGTACAAACGATGGCGGACGGCCCTTCTGCTACAGAGGCACACATGAAAAACCTTATAGCCTATTAGCATAGTAGTTAAAAATTAAGTTGAAATGGATTGATTTTCTTCATTTATATGTAAATTTATACTTATTAGTTTCAAATAATAATTTATTCAAATAATTATTTTTTATGTGGAGGACCTCTTAGACGTTTAAAAGATCCTGAATGGAGGACCTCAGGTTATCTATTCCAAATATAGATATACTCTGTACAAACTACTGCGGAGTACTAGCTTAATGTAAATATACAAACTAATACAGTACTAACTAATATAGTGTAAAACTCTTTATCTTAATGTCATGTCAGAGACATTTAAGGTCAAATGAGTAATCCATCATACTATGACTCAAGAGGAGCAGTCATTCCAAAATTGGTCTCCTTAACTAACCACCCACCTTATGAGACATCTTAAGGCATCCTAAGACGAAAGTATATAGATAAAACTAACATATAAACCTTGAATTTATTCCTCCTACTAAGTAAGTTATTTTAGTGTTTTCCAAGTACGCAAACTGTAAGAGTTCTGTAAATTTCCACATTAAGCTTCTTGTTGCTAATTCCCTTCTGATTACTGTTAACTTCCCTCTTTGAGCATTGCCGAATCAAATTCCATGTCAATCCTAATGCATGAAAAAGTCCAGATGCAGTCACTTGATTTAGACCAGCTAAGATCATATCGTTATCAACGCATGATATCACATTATTGGGAGAATCTGATACATCCCTAGTTCAAGAGCTCATATGAACATTGGAAGCGTGCTCACAGACTTAATAGCACAAATATTACGATAAACTGATGTTGAATTATACGGCAACTCCCTTCACTACATTCACGTAGACATGCTTATTTCACTTGTTCACCCTTTGAGTTGAGATTTTGGCTTTCTTCTCAGTTCTCATACAAAAAGCTTCCACTCTGTCAAGGAGATTTCGACTGTCACTTACTCAGTTACTCTAGAAGCCTTTCTCAAGTTGTTCATGAATGGGGAGTATCACCCTTACCTACACGACATCACTAATATTCAAATAATATGATAAACTGATGTTGAATTATACGGCAACTCCCTTCACTTTTTGTATGTTGGACTACCTCACTCACGTAGACATGCTTATTTCACTTGTTCACCCTTTGAATTGAGATTATGGTTTTCTTCTCCATTCTCATACAAAAAGCTTCCACTCTATCAACGAGATTTCGACTGTCACTTACCTTAGAAGCCTTTCTCAAGTTGTTCATGGATGGGCAGTATCACCCTTATCTACACGCCCACACTAATATTCAAATCCACTCCCTACAACTTTCCCTGCTAATGTCCATTTTCTAGAACTTTGGGACAATAAACTTCCATAATCTTATACGATAGTATATGAATGTGGAGAATTATGTAGAGGACAACATATTTATCAAGAAGGCTTCTCCACTGCTACTTCCAAGCGGATACTACACTTCTCTTGAGAACTCAAGAGTAATTTAGCATAGTACACACGTCTATATGCTGCTAAATATTCCTACACTCCGCAGGCTCTATAATATTCTAGAATATTCATGTTTGTCTGCACAAATCTAGAGAGCTCTACACTTCTTTTACAACATTCTACAATTCTAATGAAGTTTATAAATTAAGGAGAGACTCCAACATAACAACATTTATTCACTAGCTAGCTCCCAATAGGAACATTCTCTTCTTCTCAATGATTCTTCCTTAAGGATCATGCTCCCTTTAACAATTTTTTGGGTGAAGAGGTGGTTGCCAATAGAAGTAAAGAGATTCAAATGGCGTTTTTTATTGTTTTGAAAATGAGAGAAATAGTAAAAAGAAAATATGTTTGGTTGGGATCGAAATGGGGAAGACTTGATTATATGTACAAAGGAAAAAAAGGTAGTTAATGTACTATTCTTTAATGTATCAAGGAAAAAATGTGTTCTCCTGGAATGCTTACATATTTTCTATTTTTCTCTTCTTTTTTCTATTTCACCAAATTAATCAATAGTCTCTCTATTTCTCTGTTACTACTCTGCATCCAAACACCACAAAACGTACCTATTTGCTCTTATTTCCTACTGGCTACTGCTTTCCACATTCCTTTATATACGACTCTGTGCAATCAAAGAATTTACATATGGAGTATTAATTTTTTATGGGAACTTTGGGAAGAATGGGAGAGACCAATGGGAATTGAGACGGGAAAGGGAAATGTTTTGGTGGGACCCATACAAAAAGTGTTTGAATACTTTTCTGTTGTCCCAAACAAACACTCTTAACTTTCGATACTTGCTTGTTTGGTGAGCGCCTAATTAAAAGTTATCTTTTGAAATGAACAACGAAAGAAAACAACAGTTTTAACGAATTTAAAATGCAAAAGAGGGGTTTATTGAATTATTGTGATTCTTTTTTCAAGCCAGTCAGGCCAAAAACGACTAAATTGAACCATAGTTTGAATGTTCATCTTGTAAATATAACGAACTATTGAGAAAACAAAATTAGATCGTTTGTAATGGGGTAATGTCACGTTTGTCTTCTGTCCGAAGGTACTAGCAATCTAGCTAGCTTGAGAGATGGCATCAGCCGTAATATGGAAGGTTATTTCCAATTATTGAATGTGAGCAAATCGCAAAGCAACGACGCACGGCCGGTGCTGGATTCATGCGGCAAAGCGGTTTTGCCAAAAAATTGAGCCCTATCATTCTATATCTCAAGAAGACTTGAGCATATTTTCAATCTGGCTGGGCCTCATTCGATTGGACCAACTGTTTTTTTGTTAACCTTCGCCTAGGTCTTTGTCATTACCAATCACTTCAATAAATTAGTCAAGACATTATTAAAGTCATAATGTAAACAAACGCACAAATTTTATTAATACATTGTAAAACAATTTTAAAGTATGGTAAAAAAATTTTTTACTTTTACCTAGTTTATGACCTTTTAAAAACTACTTATCACTATCCATACAATTGTAGTTTTAATATCTCCAAATACTCTAATGGTGCAAATGAACTGCCCCAAATAAAAATAAAAACAGAATGGTTTCCCAAATTATGTACTAATGTTTTACATGGTTAAAAGTCATGTTTTTAGATATATAAATATATTATCGATTATTATGACATTAATACCGCCATTTTTTGTATGATAAATTCATCATGAGTTGTCGTGTTAGGTGTACACATTTTGGTGTACACCTTTTGTACACTCGTCTGTTCACGCACACAGAATCATCTGTCCACAGACAATTCTGTAGAGTTGTATGTAGACAGACAATTTTGTGTGCGTGAAACTGACAAGTTTACAAAAGGTTTACACTAAAATGTGTACATCTAGCATTTTTCATTCATCATATGATATAAGATATGTAGTACGGAGTATGATTTTAGGAAGATAGTATTTTACTCATATTAAGTGAGTAAAAAACCAACACCAAATTTCCTTAAAATAGTTCACAATGTTCTTATTATTAAATTAAGTTAAAACTACAAAGAACCTACATATAATTATGCCTAAAACTCCTCATAAAATACACCAATTCAAGGAAAGGAATTGAAGTACTAATAAATCAACTACGACATCAAAATCCAAATAGTATCGAATAGCGATGAAACATACTAAATCTTTTCCTCTGAATTTTGTATCAACTTCAGATTTTCTTCTTGACCTATTTGATACTTCCTCCATCTCACTCAACTTTGACAACTTTCCTTTTAAATCATTGAATTTGTGGCTCTATCCATTTATGTCCGCACAAACCTCAACCACACAATTTTTGATATTCTAATTTCACACCCAATATCAACTTACCAAAGTTGAGTGAGACGGAGTAACTACTTAGTACGTAGTATATTTGTATACTTTCCCTGTCCCTAAATCTAATGTATTCTCAAATTAAACTGAAATATAACATAGTGAAACTTGTCTTGCAACAATTTGTACGAGAAATAAAGAAATATTTCAAATCACAAATTTGTATTTTCTAAAAGATAAATGACAAACTTTTTTAGAAACTTTTGATAGAAGAAATATAGATGTCGACAGATACGAGAAATAACTATCTTATGTTTCTAGACGTTTCAATCGATACCCACAAAAGTCCGCTCTTGAGTGAGTCATGCACTATAGCATCAAGTTCCTAGCTACTCCTACTCACTAGTCAAGTAGCTCAGATACTTCACTATCCACAGTTTTTAATTCGAACTTCAATAAATGGTTAACAACTAATATCTCAGTTTCCCTAATAAATAAGAAGTACTAATTGGTATGAGATAGATAGTAAATAAGAGATGATTTGATAAGAATGTAGTGGATTGTTATATAGCGAATAGAAAACGCGGATAGCTATGGAGGAGAATTGGAGATAGGGTGCCATGTACGGGTTAGAGGGGAATTGGTGATAGTGATGAGTAAAAACATGTTCCAAAATACATTGTCCAAAATATTACTCCGTATCATATAATGTTAATATAATTATACAAAAATGATAATTATAAAAAGGACATCTTACTTTGGATGATAAACACCAAATAAAACCTTTTTCTAAAAAGGACATCTATGTACTATACAGAGTGTTCTAAAAATTAGACCTTTTCAATAAGAAGATCCAGTGATATAGATTTCGTTACACGCATTATTGGATGGCCAGAGGGGATTAGGGGTACGTATATAGACACAGTATATAAATTCAAACGTTGGCCCGGGCCTCTTACTTTGAATTTCTTCCGAAGTACTACTATATCTTAAGACCAAATATTCATATCACTGTAATCCTGAATCAATTATTGATAATTATAAATTATGTACTCCATCTTAACTAGGTACATTGAGTTGATGAGTGGTGTGCCCTCCGCACGAGCACACTTGACACTCCTCCACAATATGTGGTCAGGAATCCCCCGGTCTCTGCCCGCCTCAGTCGCAGCTCATCCGGCAGAGTCCGAGGGTTGGTCAGCCTAGGTTGAGGCCCGTGTGCCACGCCACAAAGCCCAATTTGTGTTAGCTTGATCCAGGGACATAAATGGGCCATAGCCAAAGCTCAACAATAGCAAGCCCTATGATTGGTAGGATCACTCAATAATTTTTTTTTTGTGATCAGAAAATAGTTTACAATGTTTTTTAATACATGCGCACTCTTTTAGATTGATAATAATTAGTTTGGGATTTTAGAAAGTATAGATCGTTCAGGCAATTATCATACAAGAGCAACTCATCAGCACATACCGTGGTGCGCCGACAACTCCGTCGATGATGACGTGCGCAACGTGTATACCCAGCGGTTGAAACTCTCTCGCCAAGCATTGCGATAAGGCACGCAATGCGAATTTTCCGCAACCTAATATATTCAAATTCAAATTCAAATCAGTTGGGACTGTTCCTAATATTCCGCGACCTAATACATTCAAATTCAAATTTAAATCAGTTACTACTGTGCCGAATTTTCGCTCAAATTTCGAAGGACAGATCATTACATAATTCAGAAAAGCCGGCGATCCCTGAAAGAGAAGCTGCGCAGCCTGTGAAGAGAATCGTCCCTCTACCTCTTTCCACCATTCCTGGTAATACCTGAAATTTGAATTTTCAGGCAAATATGATTCTGTGTTGAATCAAGCAGAAAAATCTATATACCAATTCATCTATAAATGGAACAGAGTAAAATCTGCCAGGGAGATTCACTATCAGAGATCAGAAATGATTCCACATCAGAGATTTTTTTGTTAGTAAAACCTGTTGAGCGCAATGAAACGCCCCGACGGAGGAAACGGCCATGGATTTTTCGAAGTTTTCGATCTTAATATCCATGAAATTTGTGCATTGAACAGCCGGTGCCGTCTTGTATGCATTGTAGACCAAAACTTCTACGAATCCGAGAGAGAGAACGCCTTCGAAAGCTTCTCGTATACTCCGAGTATCCGAACAATCTATACGGATGGCGAACACTTGCGCTTTCTCTTCTCTCGCGATTTCATCTGCAAATCTCGACAGAGCACCTGCGACCAAAAACCGAAGTTCAGAGGTTCGAACTAACAATAAATTGCTACTAGATATCAGCTGCGGTGCAGACAGATCCGATCAGACAGAGAGGCTGACCTAAGTCTCGAGCGAGAATAGCGACGGTGTATCCTTCGTGGACGAACTTGCGGGCGATGGAGCGGCCGAGCTTTGGCCCAACGCCGACGACGGCAGCGATGCCTCTCGGAGGGGCGGTGGAGCTTGCCATGCTGCGCATCATCTCCTCAGCTTATTTAATTTGCTCGCCGTCCGGTTTTGGGCTATCGGATTTTGTGCTGTGGTTAGTATTTACTTACTAATAATAAAAATAATAATAAGTGCCAGAGAGGATAATGCATATATTCAATGTACGTGGTCGTTGTCGGAAGAGGTGCCCCCTAGAGGAAAGGCAATAGCAGGTCAGTGATATGAACTGACGAGAAAGCCCAATCATTTGCTAGCTTTCTACATCTACATATATAGGGAGTTAGTTAATATACTTCGGGCCATGGACAACTAATTCAGCACACATTAGTCTTAGGGCCTGTTTGGTAATGGCTGCAACGGCTGAAAGGGCTGAAAGTGCTTAAATGGCTGAAATTTCTGAAGTAAAAGTGTTTGGTAATATTTTGGCTGAATTGGCTGATTGAATGTATAATTACCAAAAAGGGTATTACTTTTTTTGTATTTTAAATATATGTATATAAGTATATTAGCAGCGGCTAGTTTTGTGTTCTTAAATTAATTCTTAGAAAATAATCTAGAATCGCACAACAGTAAGTCAGTAACTAATTTTACATTACTACTCATTAATCATGTTGCTTTGAAATTATTAGGTCTGCATATTTACTACTCCGTATTAGTTTCAGCCGCATACTCGCATAGCCCATATACTTGACAAGTTGACTGCTTGCTTTGAAGAGGATAGAGATGTCCTTTAACCGAAAAAATAGAAAACAGCCGATAAAGGAACTCCAAGGCTGCTTTTTCAGCTGATCATAGAAATCAGCCAGATAAGCTAATTTGATGATTGTTTGGTGTTTCTTTTTTAGTTTCAGGCTGATCAGCCCAATTTAGCTCCTCCAAACACCCTCTTACTATATCCAACCGTGATGGATTAATTAACCATAATTTAATTACCCTTTCCAATTAACTTACATGAAGTAGTTAGAAGTTACTCCCTCCCAAACTAGTTCTCCGATTTCTTTTTTCACGATTCTTAAGAAAAGTGATATTTTAATATGTTATCCTTTCTTTTGTAAATGTTTTGGTCAGAGTGGAGTGATTCAATAGCGCTACAATGACAAAAATCGAAATCGAAATGATTATATTGCAAATGTTGTTCCACATGACGAGGGACTTGCCACATAAATTAATGAAAGTTAAAAGATATAAGAAATGTTAGCTTCTTCCCCTTTTTCACGTCTTTGATTTACTTCTTCTCTCAAACTATCCCTCACGTGTTGTAGTGCTTTTCACATGAAAGTTGTAGTAGTCCTGCAATCAGAGGGAGTTGATAATACAACTACCCAACAAATAGACAAATAGTCTTATTTAATGCATATGAGAATGCTAAATAACAAGTAAATGCATATGGCTGAGGAAGGATTAAAAGAGGATGAATCTCACAAATGCACAAAAGGACAAGATTATCATGTTCAGAGAGGCTTAATCAGCAAACTCATTGTGGAGTTCAATGTCACATCATGAACAATGAGCAGAATCTCCAACACATCAGAGAAGAAATACATGTGGGATAGCTTGTAGATGTTCAAAGCATCAGGTCTTTGGGAAGGAAAAACATACACTATGTATGATGATCACCTAATTGAAGGCATCTCCTTACACAAAAGAAAAACCATAAGGTTTTTGGGTGTGACTTGGGAATGTCCAAGAACGTATCACACGGATTGTGAAGCCAAGTAGAGTAAGAAGTCATACTAATGCCATAAAGCCATTACTTAGTAATGAGAATAAAGTCAGAAGGATGATTTTGTATAACATAACTAGAACCAGGGTTTCGGTTTCTCCAAAATTCTTGGATGCCAACCCCTCTGAACAGTTCTTCAGTTTAGCTCAATAACTTATCCCAACCATCTTCAATGGGGAAAGGCAGAGGTAACATCATGAACACAATTATATCAGTACACCCAAGATAGATGATGATGATGATGATGGGAAATTCTCGAGTGCATATGTGAAATCGGTGACCCATGTTTGTGGATAGCAACTGACGATGACGGAAAACACAGATAACTCATGCTTGGATGTAACAATGGAGAATCCTGAAATAGGGCCGAACGACCAAGCTGCTAGCAAGAGCACAACAAACCACGCACACCAACTATTTGATCTAAATGGCGAACCAGAAAATAACAAACCTTCATGGGTGGGCCTTTTAAAAGATAACAGGGCACCCTCAAAAGGAATGAAGCTAAGATATATTCCTATAGAAGGTGATTTTGCTGATATGAGCATTGGAGAACCCATAAATATGGAGGAAGTTTGGGGTTTCTGTCTTGTGGGTTTTTTTCACAAGAAGGTTCTCACGGATAAAATCAATTTATAAGCTCATGGAAGGATGGGATGTTAGATGCAAACTGCTGCAACATTCTAGAGGTTGGTTTGTACCAGTAACCATGAAGGAGCTGGAACCCATAAATCTAAGCAAACATCCTGAAGATGAATAAAGGGGAGCCGAATGGGGGAGGAGGGACGATCCAACAACGATTTAAATGAAGATGCTCTCATGGAATATAAGAGGGCTCAATAGAGCCTCTAAACTTGTTAGTATTAATACTTACATTAAAGACTTTGATATTGCTTTTTGCTTTTTGTTGGAAACTAAACTGAAAGATGACCAGAAGTTGGATTACTTTGCTACTACCAAACTGAATGGATGTAAAACTGTGAATAACTTTAATAAGATACGGGGAGGGAGGATTGCTATTTTATGGGATGTTGCTAGAGTAAAGTGTGAAATCTTGGAGGTTGAGGCTTAGTTCATCCAGTGTAGGATTCAATGTTTGATCACACAGGTGTCTTTCTATGTCACTATTGTCTATGCTCTTTATACAGTGAGGAAGCGAAGACAATTGTGGAATGATAGGTACACTAAAGGTGGTAAGCACATTGATTTGAAGTACTTGTCAGTAAAGGAAAAAGTTCAGAAACATAGAGTGTTATTGAGCATATTGGCACTGAACAAATGGTTGTGGATCCGCTAACTAAAGGATTGTCACCCAAGATTTTTAATAATCATGTAATTAATATGGATGTTGTTGATAAAGCCTTGTTATGATAATTTTGTCAGTGATTTATGTTTGCTCATTTTTATATATTTTTGTTTAGACACTCATTTGAATTCAATAAAAGTTATGTTTCTGGTTTACTTGTTATCTATTTGATTGTGATCACATATAATTATTTGTAGTGATAACAAATGTTGAAGATTTAAGTATTCCTCAAATTTAAGATTTGAGACTTTCAGATTTCTCAAATGATTCGGATGAATTAGAATTGTCTTGTGATACATGGAAGGGAGCATGTCAGTATAAATGGTGTGTAACCGCCATCATCCATTCAATTTGAAATTCAGTTAAGTTTTTTCTTGATGAGTTTGTTTTGATGAATATTGCGCAATTTAAGTTTTCATCAATTCATCAAGGATCACATGACCAAGTGGGAGAATGTTAGAATATTTATTTAATTATTAATATTCTAATATTGGTCATGTAATTGGGGTTATATGTTATTAATAAAGTTTGTATAGTCCAAGACATTTAATTGGTTTAATGATAGGCTAAACCTATGTTTAAGTCTATCTAGGACTAGGGTTTCCCAACCCTCTCCTCTGCCTCTATATATACGATTATTCCTTATGAAATAACAACACAATATTAGTGAGAGATCTTTACCTGCCAAGAATCTCGTAAGGAAAGAGGCCATAATGGATAAGGGATTTGTTCCGGTTCATTCATCTATCATGGATCCAGATATTCCTAAATCTCTGATCTATCAATATATGATTATATTTAATTACATGATGCCGATCTTGGAATGTAATCATGTGTCCCTTACACAATTACACATTGAATAGATTCTATATATGGAAATGTCTTTAACTCGCAATGTTTCGGCGCGCCCTACTTTCAATATCATTTGCTTTTCACTTTAGTCAAGCTATCTTGGAGCATCCGCAATGGAAGCCTTTCTAGTCTAAATAATCTGTGCCACATGTCATATTATTAATAGACTTTCTAATACACATAATAAATACCGAAGGGATTAGACATGGACATATGAAGGAAGACTCCAATGCGGCCAAATTAAATGTCCACATGGAATTTATTTTATTAATTAATAAAGCATTTTTACTACACTACCGTGGGATGCCAACTTGCCATCATAAGAAAAAATAGCCCATCCATTGCTCCTGCTTATTCAAGTTTCATAAATATGCTTTCTTCCTCAATTTTTATATGGACCGGTCGATCGGACTTTCTATAGAGTAGATATAATTGTTTTTTCTGTTTCTGTCGCGTCTACACTACATCGCCGGAAGAAACCCATCTTCCGCCTGCCCGTTCAGTCTTGAGTCCTCAATCCACCCTTTCAATCGATCTGCCTGGAGGTTCATGGAGCAACAACCGCGCCGCTCGTCTCCAGTTCAGATACTCTTTTCCCTTGTGCGAGATGAAGATACCGACCACCCTTCATCTATCCAATACCAACCTTGCGCCGGCCGCCGGCCACCGCTTAGAGAAAATTACATGGAGTTGAGTAGTTGAGGCTATTCCATTGTCACTACAAGAAAAATTGTTTTGTGGAACGAAAATTTTCATTGCCAAAAGTTGATAATTCCTTGCCCATTTCATTGGCCAATGGAAATCAAATTCGTCACAAGGTCGTTGCCTAAGTATCGTGGCCCATTATACTTTGTGTGTTGAACCAAATATTTGTTACCCATAGTAATGCTTGTGCATCAATTATTTTCGTTGCCCATAGTAATGCTTGTGCATCAATTATTTTCGTTGCCCATAGTAATGCTTGTGCATCAATTATTTTCGTTGCCTATAGTAATGCTTGTGCATCAATTATTTTCGTTGCCTATAGATGTATTTTGTGCAACGAATTTTTACTAATTGTAGCCCCAATTACTCTTGTGTGTTGCAAATTTATGTGGCACAAATATCCTTAGTGCAAGAATATATTCTCAATTGTAGCCCATGACGCTTTTGTGTGATAATAATTTTTCGTTGCACATGAGTCCTTTGTGCAACAAAAGACTACCTTTTGTTGCCTATACACTTTTAGGTGCATTGAAATTATATTTGTTGCCCATATAGTAGTACTGCTAAGTCCCCTCATCTCTTATTCACACACAAACACACATACATGCTGCATTTTGAAAGGAAATAAAATACTTTAATAAACTTGTAAAATGGATATAACTTGTGTCTTCACAGTTAATCCCATGAAACAGATCACAACATAACAATGCAAAAGTTTGAGAGTTCTTAACTCATTACATGTTCATTTATTACAAATTTTTAAGATATAAAAATAAAATAAGACTTTGAACTTGAAGTAGCACTTGAAGTAGCACGATTTCACTAAAAACATCAAGCCCCCCTGCAGACAATTATGAGAAGTGTTAGCTAACAAAAAAAATAACTACAATAATAATAATGTACACTAGAGAGAGTTTTCTAAAGCACTTAGATACGAAAAAATTAAATACCCCAATTAAGAATATTTCTGGTTTGGCGATTTGTAGAGGTGGAGAATTCATGGGTATCTCTGTATCCGGCAAAAGGTGTGCTTTTTCCGTTTCCTTCTACTGTTTTTCGGGAGAGAGGCGTCGTTTTTTCTGAGTCAGCATGTGTACATAGATGTCTACATACGGATCCGGACTTGCTTCTTGACAGTGTTTAAGTTTTCTATTGCCATGTCAGCAACCTTTGCTTACGGACTAGAAACATGGGAGGGCTTATTAAACGGTCCAAGTCTAATTAAATGAGGTGGCAAACTTTAATTAGACTATACTACGTTGCGTTGGGGTTGCTTTTAGGTCCTTTTGTACCCAAATAAATACAAACTTATCTTAAAGGTTTCTAAAGATAGAGGAGTTCATAATTTAAATTCTAGAAATATTAGGTGTCCTGAACTTATGAGGATTTTATTGAACTTTGAGTGTCCCCAACTAAAATTTAATTAATTCTATTAAAATCTAGGTATACTCAAATTTTTATGGGTTTTTATGGATTTTATTATATGGTGGATTTAAATGAACTTAATATATTCTTATCAAAATCCGGTCAATTCTGATGGATTTTATTAGAATATACTAGAATTGGTGGAATTCTATTAAAAACTTCCAAACTCTATGTTTGATACACCCTCAAACTTGTGATTCTAAATGGTATTTCAATCTTTTGAGCTTAACAATTTTTCCTTCCAATAAGTAATTATATATTATTCCACTAAGGATAATATCTAGATACATCATGCATCATAATACTTTGTTTGAACTCATTAGAGCATCTCCAATTGTTCCTCCTAAGGACTTGCTTGCAATTTTTAAAAATATTCAAGCTAGTACCCTACCATTGGAGTGCATATTTCCTTCTAGCTTGGACAAGCAAATTAGCCAATACAAGATAGTTGCTAGAAAGGAGAGAAGTTTGAACTAAAATGATAATTACCAAATATATTTAATATATTGATATCCTACCTCCGTCCCGCACTCCTTAAAGGTTTACATTATAAAATGACTCAATTATTTAGACAATTATCAATAAAAATATTCAAGTATACTCTAAAAAATAATTTTGATGTGTATATAATATAATGAGATCATTGATGATAACTGTGATGTTAAAAATGTATTATTTTTAATATTTGATTATTAAATTTTCTTTTAAGAGTGTTAATTGTTTTTTTAATAGAAATGAGAATCTTTATATGGAACGTCCAAAAAAGAAAGTGGAAATGTTTGAATAAGATGGAGGGATCGGAATACTAAATTAATTAAAATCTAACAGTAAAGTAAAGTACTTCAATACAATGGTCAAGCCCCAAAAGTGGTTTTTATTTCTTTTGAATTGATATCATTTAATTAATTATATTTACTTTATTTAATGTTTTTTATTTGTTAATTTTTAGAAATCTTTAATTTTCTCATAAAGTATGTAAAGTTGATATTTTTCAGTATGTATGTGTTGTTAAAGTTTCCTATTTCAAAAAATTTTAACTTACAAAAATACATTTTTGATATTAATTTTAAAAATATGCATTTTCATATTATCCGTAGCACTGATAATTGATGGGTCTAAAAATATTATTAACATTTTCCCAATTTAATACGAGTAGTATTTAAGAATTAGTATTATTTTTATTTAATTAATAAATCAATTCGTTCAAAATGTGTATTTTAAAAATTGATTGATTGGTCATTTGTGGGGTCTATCCAAGAGGGAATCATTGTAGCTAACCATTGGAGCATCACGTTGCTGGAAAATGTATTAACCAGAAAAAACAGATGTGACAAGCAAAGCTGCACCATATATAGCTAGCCATTGGAGATGCTCTTAATAAGCGGAGTATTAAACTCATCTATGTATCTTGTTGGTTCCATATAGAAATATACTTGCAACCAATCCTTGATGCATCCCAACCGTGATGGGAAAAATAGGGTTAAATTTTGCCCCATATTCTAGCAATTGTCTTAGGGTGTCAATACATTTATTGAGTTAAATTATCGTGATTTACATATACTACAAACTTTTTAATCATCACTCACCAAGAGGTCATCCCATTTAATCATACTTTTTTGGATACATCGTTCTTTTTTTAAATCTATCAAGACTATTTTCGAATATGTTGCATTCTAACAACAAGAGGTCGGAGTTGTCTTCAAAAGCGGTGGGTCGCAGGGGAGGTTCTACATATAGGCTATGGTAGGTAGCTAGAAGCCTAATGTGATTTATTTTTTTTCAATTTTTCAATGTAATTTTTATCATTTTTTCATATGTAACACACCCTATTAATATTTAAGTTTACTACAATTACTCTTCAGTCTATAACATCTCAAATTCATGGATCTGTCACTGTAGTTGATTGTCGATACATAGATATCAATTTTTTGTAACATATGTACTATCATCTTTTACCATTTATAGCTTAAACATATGCCTCATAAACTTCATCCCCTTCTAGTTTGCACGTTCTTATACATCTCCTTTTTACTCATATATTGGTACACAGTACCAGGAACAGAGCCCCACTCTCTATCTGTCAGATTGTGATTATAGTCCAATTTACATCCTCTCATCGTGCCGTCCGGTCGGTGTTGGGGGCCCTAAGGGATGGGGAGTCACCCTTTTTTTTCATATATTGGTACACAAGTGTTTCCCCCAATTACTTTTCCTGTTAATCACAAATTTCCGGCCCTTAGCATTTCGAAACTTCAATTATGATTTCGTTAAAGCCAACTAATTTATGTGGTTTCATTTATTCACAACTTATTTCTTCTATTGTGTTTAATTGTGACGGTCAAAAAATAAAAGCTACTCTATCTCCTAGAAAACAAATAATAGCCACTTCCCTGAGTATCATAAAATTTGAGTAGAACTGACTTGCACGTGAAAATAAAATATACTTCGTAGCAAATACATAGTTGACATATGCGTGGATGAGAGGAAAATAACTTTAACCATATATCGAGTATTTGTTAGTCTAAATGGAAAGGAAAAATCTTATAACTATAAACTCATACCGATGATAAGATGTACAAGTATATTGTAATTTTCTCAACTCCAAACGAAACATGCACTACCAAACGCAATGAATTTGCTACATATAATTTAACACTTGTCGTTAGGATATAGGATATATGACGCTCATCACCCAATTTTTCTACAAAATACGGAGCTTTTAATTTCACGCATTGATTATGTAATAATCTAATTAAGTAAAATTGAAGATACTTGTATAGTTGAATTGACTAAAATGGCTATAAATCAGCATCTTACCTATTCTTTATATAATCTTTTCTTTATTTCTTTACCGATTCAATCAATTTAATTATTTTAACAAGAAATTCATGAATTTCAACCGATTTCACTCATTTAAACAATTTCAGTGTTACCAAATAATGAAATAGAGCTCTTAATTTATGAAGTTATACAATGCGTGTTTGACACTTACATCCTGGAAATTAAATTTCATCTTCACAAGGCCGGTTCCTTACATTAATAATGATGCACAGAAGTGAGGACCCTACCGGCTCCAATTTCAGTACCTGTGGCTGCAAGCTGATACGTCTCTGTGACTATACAAAAAAAATCTAATTCAGTTAGGCTCTCTCAAGAAAAAACTTCCATCGGCAACTAAAATGAATGGTAATTCCTTTCACAAGTATTTTGCACTTGCACTTCTTACTTGCACTTCTTTTGTGGATAGTTTGCCCAGTTCATATTTCTTGTGGCCTCTCTTTTTCGCATTATCCTGATCATCTCACAAGGACATAGGTAATTTGGTTAGATTTCTCATACCTCCTAATGCTTCCTATGACCCTTAAAATTTTGTCATTTTCCCCTTTTTATTGTCTCTTTCTATTTTAATTAATCAATTTGTGGTTCCTATCACTTCTTTTTCCTCTACACAAATCGGGAAACGAATCAAATATATTTTTCTATTATTTTCAATCCATTATTTAAGTCCTTATACTTAAAAAGTATCACATAAGTACGTTTATTTTAAACTCAATCTGGTCATTTTATCAATTTTGAATCTGTAATAGCAGGTTTTTTATATTAAAAAACTCTAAACATTGTTAAATTTGAAGAAATATTGATAAAAATTGTGAAAAAATGGGAATATCAAAGTCAATATTTTTGCATTTTTGAAATTATTTACATAATCTACATCTATTTAAATGGCTTTTACATTTTTTATTTTCACTTTTTTTAATTTTCACTTTATTTTCAGAAAATGAAATTCTTATTTCTATTAAAAGAAAGTTTTTAATGGGAAATGTGACTACTATCATTAAGAAATGTGAACACAAAAATTTGTGCTAGTCAGTGAGAACTTCTTTATGGGGGTAGAGAGGGTATATATTGGAATGTGTAGAGAAAGGTGTACAGAAACTGAATCACACCTACTGTCAATTTAAACCCATCAATTAAGTGGGTCGTACAGCATGGGGAAGACATGGTTGATGCAAGTTCTTCCTTACAAATGGATGCTCTAATAACATGCTAGCAGTTGGCCTCTCAGCTGGGTTTCTTCGAAAACAATGCTGCAAGAAATCTTTTCCTTCGACCGAAAGTGACTCGGGTATTGGTGGGGATTCCTTTAAGACCTTGAACATGGCTGCTGGCTGTTATATTACATGGATTTAAGAATTAAAGTGAGCTTCTATAAGTGTTAAAATTTGTGCAGCTTGTGGCACGTCCAAGACATTATTAAATTGCACTTACTCCTTCATACTCGCTCCAAGGTGGTTTCCCATTCATCATTTCAATTATAGTACAGCCTAAACTCCATATATCAACCGCTAAAGCATGGTCAGATTTAGAGTCTTGTATACCTTGTTGCAGGAGCTGCAGGCAGCAAAAGATATTAGTTTTCAGAAGCTAACAATGTGCTTAGGAGAATGTTAAAGGGGAAAACACTGATTTTATCTCTTATTTAGTCCATTGTGTTAGATATATTGGACCAGTTTGGGTCCATTTTTTGTTGGAAATGACAATACTTTGTGAGTGGCGTTTTTAGCCGTCCCCCTCAATAAAGTGTCCATAGGGAAATCGTTTTCTTAAATTTTGTGGCTACATCAGACACTATCGTGTTAAACTAGGCAGAGATGTAAAATCACATATAAGCACTAGTTCTGGTATCTCAAATAACAGTAGTTATACAAAAATAGATCTAAATACTCCTTAACATGGTAGTAGACCTCATTACATTGAGGTGATCTACTTTATTCGACTATGAAACAGAAAACATGCATTCCGAGATTGGTGTTCTCCAATGAGCTACCATTTGTTTCTTTATATAAACTCGCATACAATTCACAAGGAAAATGGATCATGTACCTCAGGTGCCATCCAATAGGGACTTCCTTTAAATGAAAGATGTCCTGCTTGTCCAGAAAGCTAAAGAAGGATATAGGGTCATTACACAAGTTCAAACCATAAGATATAGCACAAAAGCCTGCTAATAATGGTTAGCCTCTCAAAGGATGAGAACAACTAAAAGGATGAGAACAGCTTCGTGTTAATCTTTGGACGGTGTGAACTTACATGCTTAGACATCCCAAAGTCAGCAAGCTTGACTACACCATATGCATCAACTAGCAAGTTAGCACCTTTAATGTCCCTATTGAAATTGAAATATTTTAGATTTGGCAGGCCACAAAGGATGCCTTAAATAAAGGAGCTAAGTTATAGTTATGTCCTAAATAATCTAAAAACACAAAGATACCCTTCTTAAAATTGTGTTTCATTCATGTTGGTACATATCTAAAAGGTTTTCATATATACATAAAGATGTCCTGTTGCTTTTTCCATTCTGCGCCATTCTGAATCTTTCCCTCTTACCTGTGTATGGTTCTTGTTCCATGCAAGTAAGCCAACCCACAAAGGATATGGCGGGTGAAATTACGAACAACAGATTCTGTAATTGCTCCACAATGATCATGGATGAACTTATTGATAGAACCGGGATGAACATATTCAAGGTATATGTAAAACCTGTCACCAACCTACACACCAATACAAGGACTTGTTACCTTAAGGATAAGTTCTTGTTAATGCACTAAAAATGGTGTATGCAAACACTCACTATTTCACTTCCGAAATATTGTACAATGTTGGGATGCTTGAGATTGCTAAGAACTTTAATTTCCTGAACCAGATAATAAGCATTGAGGAAAACATAAAACAAATTTCACTTCAATTAAGTAGAAAAGATTAAATGAATTCTCAAATAGTTAAAGTGAGTATCCACTCTATTAAGGCTTTTATATATAGCCACTAGTTTATTATTTTATATCATATCGATGTATGACAAATACTTCAATACGCCCTCACCCTAATTCAGGCTGAACAATTTGAGGTAGACAAATGGGGCAAACAAACTCTAAATGGGCCATTTTAAATCATAGTTCTGAAAAACAATCAAACCACAATACAACATGTCTCTCATATCATAATCAGACTTGAAATTCTATCTTTAAAGGAGGACTAATGGGAGAAGTGGTTCAGGATGTTACATATCAATGTATTACTTTATGCCAAACCAGTGTGAAATGAATACTTCAAACACTCCCCTCTCCTTGGAGCAGTTATCTAAGAGGTTATGTAGATTAAAATGACTGGTTAAATAGACAAGAAAGAACAACCTGCTGGAGCTGCTTGATACATTCAGCAGATTTGGGGTCATCCGGTAATATTTCAACTTCTTTCATAGCACACAAAGCTCCGGTTTCTCTTTTGGATAAGTCAACTAAGGATTCAGTGCCTTACAATAGAACAAAATAAAGAGGCTGCATATACATATGTTTCATGAAATCTAGTGTTACCCACCTGTTGGAAGCGACATGCACAATTCCAAACGTCCCGCGTCCAATAAGCTTTCCTTTCTGCCAGTGGCCTTTGACAGGAAGTAGTTCTGATTTGGGGGTAAGAGGAACCGAAGGAGAAAATTCTGGTTGGGATGCAGAAGCAGCAACAACAGCAGAAGGAGGCAGGGGCAAGGGGTGCACATTGGTCTGAGAGCTGTTACTATTACTATTATTAATGCTATCACGTCGTGCCATTGTGGTCTCATTTGGTATTACACTAGGCAAAGGAGAAGTAGGGCGCGTTGGACTTCTCATGCTAGAAATGGGGCTTATCAATGCATTAAGATCATGTGCTGTGGATCGACTCATCTCTGGGGCAGACCAAACTTGGAAAATACTATTTTGGGGAGTTATAAACTTGGGACTCCAATGTTCTCCCAAGCAACCATTCAAGGGGCTGTGCACTGGACTTGCAAAAGGGCTGGTTGGAGCACTAATAGGTGGGGGAATCTTCAAGTTAGTGAACTTTTTGGTCTCATTAAGTTTATGTTTAGACTTTCTCCCCTGGAGGCCGCTTTCAACATTTTCGGTCTTTGTCTTTTTTGCTGCTTCGCTTAGATACCTGTACAAAACAAGACCAGAGAAGCAGACTTTGATGCATTTAATCCGCAATATATAGAATCCATGATTATGTTAGGATCATACCAGACAGCCAAAGTACAATTTGATACATTTATAATTTTATACCATGTGTAGCAGGTTTAACATTTAATCAGAGATCTTATTTAACTCATCATTATTTTCTCTATATAATGAATTGAGAAATTGTCAAAGCATCATATTCCATCCTCAAAGGCCAACAAGGATTAGACCAGTAGTATCCTTTTTAAAGAAACAAACTAATTTATTAATGATAAAAATACTCAAGAAGTTACAGCTATATAAGTTTTTGCTACACTAAGGTCAGTGAGTCAGTCATTGAACTCTATGGCCCCATAAAGATAAACCAGTTCACTAACGCGATGACAATGGAGATTGTACCCCAGTTTGACTGTTGCTACGGCTAATCAGATAACTTCAAAGACAAATTGTTCTAAAGGCACAACCCCAAAAACAAAGATGCAACTTAGTTTTACCAGCCACAGGAAAAGATCATATATTTCAAGAGAAATGTAGGATTTAATAAAAAGGGGTCTGGTATCTTATATAACACGAAGTAGTTTATGTTTTATGACTTACTCCGTATGAAACAAATATTTATTTCAATTATCAACAAAAGTGTATCATTTTACCTATGTAGTGAGAGAGCTCTCTGGGCATGAGCCAAATTCACAGAATGGTTAGAATCGGTTTTGTATCCTTTAAAGTCCCTATCTTTGGGAGAGAAATGCAATTCCTTTGGCGACGGCAGAGGGATACTAGAGGCAGAATGGGTGTCTTGCCGGGCCGGTGATTGAGATTCCGGCAAAGGGAGAGGCAGGGTAGACGGCTGAGCCCCAATGTTACACGTCCCGGCCGGCGAATACTCGCAGCAGCTGTGCCTAAATATGTCATGGTCTCCGCCGGTGACGTGGTGGCGCCTTGATCCCCGGTCAATGCGGCGGCTGCGGCTGCGGCCGAACAAGAAAGGTCCCTTTAGAACGTACTTCCCCCCTCTAGCAACGATCAGGGTATCGTCGGAATGTGCCCTGGCGGATGAGGGAGAGGAGGATGTGGCGGAGGAGGAAAAAGCGCTCTGCCACCAATGCATTGCCTGGGGTTTTTCTCCTTACATGCATGGCACATCAGAGTCGGTCGGAGATCGAATTAGGTGATGGCGGAAGACGATCGGAGCCCAGTCTTCGCAGGTCGTTGACTCCCCAGGAAAATGTTTTATGCTTCGTACGAGAAGAAGAATGTAATTCCTTCCACCCGAATGGGGGCGGAGAAGTTGGCCCCTGTCAAAGTGCCTATCTTCTGTTATTATTGCCTCTCTATGTACCTTCATTATTTTGGGCAAAGTCAAACCACAACATATTTTCATGGGGAGGTGCAATGTTAAAAAAAAAATCCACCTCATCAAATCGACCCTTTGTGAAAAGGTGCGTCCTCCAATGCAAAAAGAAATGAATTAGATCCAACCATTTGGTTAAGGGTTGTTTTGCAACTGCTTTTAAAAATGCACTTCTCAGCTTTTGGCTTTAAAAAAGCACTTATTTTCCCAAACACTACAACTTTTATTTTTTCGGCTTCCGCGTCAAAAGTGCTTTTACTTTTTCTATTAAACACTTTTACCAAACACTACCCACTTTTACTTTTCAAAATCACTTTTTTCTCAAACACTATCAATTTTTATTTAATCATTTCTACCCATTTCATTAAAAAAAAACACTTTTTAAAAAGCAGAAGCTGTTGCAAACAAATAACAAATAATAGACTTATAATTGCTTCGATTTCCTGATTTCCAACAGGAAATTAGTCTAGGATTGAAACATTTTCCCGTAAAGATATTACAGTACACTAGCTACATGACTAAGCAAGTTAAAAATGTGTATGCACTTCTTATTAGAAAACACTTTTATGCAAAAACATTTTTGGAAGTCAAACTGAGATTTAGTCTAAACACTTTCAGTCTAAAATCTAAATGGTTCACTGAACGGCTTCATGTCGGGTCTTCAAGGTTCAGTTCGGGCCTTGACAAATTTTCAGTGAGGGCTTGGACTTCAATTAACTATTTAAATTGTTTTTGAAAAAATGGTCTAAACATATACGATTGCTTGTGAACTATTCAATCGATCGTGCTTTAATACATTTGAACTAGCTAGGTACCCATTACAAAAGGCGTTGAAAACATACGGAGTAACATTTACTCCTAATAGATAAGTTATTGTCAAAATAGTATAAAATCATTACTAAATACTCCCTCCGATTCTTAATTAAGTTCGTAGTTTGACTTCACACATATTAAGAAATAAATTTGATTTTACTGTGTAGTGCACTGTTTGAACACTGTTTGGCACTGTTTGGCACTGTTTGACACTGTTTTGGTGTAAATCATTTGCAGCGGTCGTGTGGAGATTACAGCTCCTGGGTGTTGGGTTGGACCTCTAGTGTGCACGAATATAAGGTCTATCATTATTGGGCCGACTGAGTCACTGAGACTTACTCCTTCACCATTCTTTCGAGTCAGGGTGTGGACTCTTGGGGCAGGAGATTCCAACTTTTTGGCAATACACATGGTCCATGAGGCTTCTCCAATACAATGCAGGATTGCATTGAAAATATTTTCCACATCATTAAGTCATGTTGGTTTGGCAAGAAAGAAATGAACGAGGTCCAGCATGAGGTCCATTGGGAGACCCTCGGTCTGACCTCCCCTTCTCAACCCCATGATTAATTACTTAATCATTGTTTTAACTTTATACATGAATGTCTCTTCTGATTGGAGCATGGAAAGGATGAACCATTTTCATTTTACTTATTTTGGCCTACAGCTCAATGGACCATTTTCATTTGTATGACATCTATGCACCAAGAGCATTGGAGATGCTAGGAGGAGGTCTACTTTTTTGAAACCTTTGGTGTCGTCCTCTCCTCACTTGTTATCTTGTTTCTTAGAATAATGAGTTTACACTTCAAATTGCTCTCCCTTTTCCATTGGAGTAAGATGTTACTAGATCCTCTCCATTTGATTAATTTTGGGTCACAATTCAATGCACCTTCTCCATTTATTTGACATATCATCACCAATCCATCACAAGCACTAGAAAGGCCCTTAGTATAGCAGGTTGGTGAGACTATCAAAAGTTATTACAAAATCGGTACATAGTAGTAGGAGTATTAAGTTTGAAAGTACACATCTCGAAAAAACAAATGATAGTATGATACTATGTCTGAAGTATTTCAAATAGACGAGCATTTTAAGACTTTTTTTAATCCCGTAAATGGAATCATCTAATATGTAAATGCCGAGAAACATGTAATGGATATATTAACCAAATGGAAGTAATGTGGAAGTAATGAGTTTCGAATATATACGAACAAAACACAATGAGAATACAAAATGTAAAAATATTTATTTTAATTTTAACACTCAAATAAAACCTAAAATACAAAGTAGCTGCTATGTTTTGATGAGACACAAATAAAATCAACTTTTTAAAATTCAAATGTGACTAAAATAAAAGAACATCTTAAATGCCCACATGAACCCAATGTTCTAAGGTGCGCTACGTGCTAGTCGGGTAGTGTCTTGCCGCCTAGCGCTTACCCTCCTAGGTGTGCGTGTCTGGACTCTAGATATTCCACTTGATTTTTTATTGTTTTATTTTTATTTCTTATGAGTTTTAATAGTATTTATTAATGATTTTATACTATTTTGACAATAACTTATCTAGTAAATGTTATGTTTTCAACGCGTTTTATAATGGGTACCTAGCTAGTTCAAATGTATTAAAGCACGATCGATTAAATAGTTCACAAGCAATCGTATATGCTTAGACCATTTTTTTCAAAAAACAATTTAAATACGTAGTAGTTAATTGAAGTCCAAGCCCTAACTGAAAATTTGTTAAGGCCCGAACGGAACCTTGAAGACCCGACATGAAGCCGTTCAGTGAACCATTTAAACTGAAAGTGTTTAGACTAAATCTCAGTTTGACTTCCAAAAATGTTTTTGCATAAAAGTGTTTTCTAATAAGAAATGCATACACATTTTTAACTTGCTTAGAAATGTAGCTAGTGTACTGTAATATCTTTACGGAAAAATGTTTCAATCCTAGCTAGACTAATTTCCTGTTGGAAATCAGGAAATCAAGCAATAAGTCTATTATTTGTTATTTGTAAAACAATCAATGCTAAAGAACTCTATCAAGTCTGATTACTCCAGGCCCCCAACCCCCTCTCCCAGGCCCCCTAGAGTAATAAAAAAAAACTCTATCAAGTCATTCAATTTTAGCATATTAGTGCCAAATAGGTTAAACCTCTTCGGTTTGTTAGTTGAAATTCTGAGAAAAGATTAGAGTTTGATCACGTAATAGTCATATACTACCTCCGACCCGTTAAGATTGCTACATTTTACATTTTCGGTCCGTCCCACTAAGATTGTCTCATACCAAACTTGGTAGAGTTTGTGTGGGTCTACATCATTCTTACTTTATTCTTACTTTATCAATTCAATAACAACCACTTGCATCACTTTTTATTACTTTGGGTGTCTCTTGTTCCATTGTTAGTGGGACGGAGGGAGTACAATTCATATCACTAGTGGATATTTGCCTCTTGTAGCATAAAGACATCAATTTCAAGAACAACGTTCATCTTTCGACAACTTGCCACTAGATCGGTCATTGCAAAACAAGCAAACGTACACCCTCAACCGTGCTAATTCGTTTGCGGATGGGAATGAGTGTGTCGAAATTTCCATCATCATTTTACATCTATCTTAAATCATTGTTCATATCAATATAATTTTAGCGATCAATCGAGATTATAAATGATAACAAATACGGAGTAACATTTTACACAAAACAACGTATATGAATATATACATGCTTTTAGATCTTTTGGAACAAAACCCTATATCATAAGAAAGACCCTCCACAAATCTCAAAGAAATTAACACAATCCATAATTGAAAGAACACTAGAATTGAAATTAAACACATGTTGATCTCGAGCTAATCTCTATGAAATAACAGCTGAATTAAGATCCTTCTAATTCTCTTGTGCACACACAACTACATCGTGCACACTTATGTGTGCTAGCTAAACAGCCCATCGCCCAAAATGTTCACTTATTTTCTTCTCACGTGGACCTCTTGAGCATGTGCAATCCTATGTTTAGTCTAGTTTTGTGTTCATAACCTCGTTCCCAATCTAAATGCTATTCCACACTTTTCTAAAGTCGATACTAAGTTTAATTGCTATAAGACCCAAAATGAATTACTGGCGGATCTATCTGCCACTAACACCAACAGATGATAATCACTTTTTAATACGTAGTATTGGATAGCGTTGGAATGGATTCCGCCACAGAATTATGTCACTAATTTCCGAAATTCTTGTAGTGAAAAGAGAATAGAAAAACGGCACAAATATTACTCGTCATACTAGTTTTTCATTTCTCCAAAAATATGATTAACTTTTTGTTTAATCCATCCATAACATTTTTTTGTAATTTACCCTCAATATATACCCCAATTCCGCCGTTGGAAACCTCCATTGAAAACTTTTGATGATTTTTCTTGTTTTTCATTTTTTTTAAATTCACCAGAAAAAGTCATGAGATATTATTTCAACAGTCACAGTGACATGTTTTAAACACGAGGCAGCGACATTTGTGGCAACGACAATGGCATCCATTAATCACAGAAAATCTAATAATGACATAAAAGTTTTTCAATCTGTAAGTGACATTTTTATATACATATATAAAAGTAGTCATTTGTTTACAATGAGTTTCAATTTAGTCATATATATTTAGTGAAAGGGGGAATTCTGATGATATCATTGTTTACGAGAGTACGTAATTGTCAATCTAAAAAATTAATGTTATGTTTTAACATTATGAAACTTTAAATATAACAGTATATTATCAAAAGTGTCACATTTTTTAAACTTAAGAGTAATTATTCTATTTACTCCTATATTTAGTGCAAATTCTTTTATTAATTATGCTTCGTGTATATATATATGTTACTCCGTAGTTGATTGTAAGCGTCATTTTATACGCCGTTCAAATTGTCACAAATAATATTTTTGCAGCGCAAAAAACGATTTTCTTCATTAACGAACAAAATTGTCCATAATTTAACAACGTGTAAAAATGACGTTAACAAACCATTAGTCTTCTTTTGATGAAAAACACCCGTTCGAATCACACTAAACTGTATTACTGCAACACAATGACGGAGGAAGTACTATTACCTACGTAAGGCAGATATTTTTTGGGTCCCATCACGATATGGAGATCTAATAAATCTCGTGCAAAG